CCTTGGCCCTCTGTCTTTGGGGCTTATGCACCCTGAGCCAGACACACATTGTACGTGCCCAAGCGTGGGAAGTCCCCGTGCGTGTTCCTATGATTCGCTCCAACATGAAGCCCTGACGCTGCTTCTTCTCCAAGAGCAGATTTCTTTACCTTTTTGTATGCCACCCTTCCCGAGATAACACAGACCTGTGAATTTAATCCTACTGACAGCAGGCTCTCATGTTACTGGTACCTTACACAGACCCCAGCACGCTCCCAGCCTGCGCAGCCCTGGATGCAGGCTCACCCCATCCACAGCCTGCCCCGTGTGTGATGTCTGTGGGCATCTGAATGGAAGCAGAGGGGAAAATAATATATAGAAAATAAAGAACCAAGGGGCAAGCCAATGCTCAGCTGGAAAAACACAAAGTGCCGAGAACAGCAAACCCAATCAATAACAATCACAACCCAGCAGCGGGCCAGGAAAGCGTGAACCGTTTTGGCCTGCTCCCTGCATGCTCCCCCACTGGGGAAACACAGTCCCTGGGGGTCCATGATTCCATCCCCTCCCACTCCACCCTGTGTTCGCCCTCATAAAAAAGCTTTATAGAATGCAAGTCCCCCAGGCTTGTTTTGGTCAGAAAATCAGCAAAGAGAAGAGAGGATCTCTGGATGGAGGAACAGGATTCCTGGTTGTGAGCTGGCACCCAAGCAAGGCTGTTGATGCTATGAAACACTGCTTCCAGCAAAAGCTCCTTGCACCCCACATCCCTCCAAAGTTCTGTGCTGCCCAGGGGAGTGGCACTGCCTAGGACCAACGTGGGGAAGGGGAAACATGGAACGTGTTGGGGAAAGTGGGAAGATCTCCCATCTCCCAGTCTAGCATCACTTCTCAGGACAGATTTGGGGGATTTCACTGTAGCAGCAGAGAGGTCAGCAGGAGTTGAAGGTTTTCAGATTGTATATATCACTCTATATGGTCTTGTCTATAGCAAGTGCTAAATATAGCTGCACCAAACCTGGAGGTTACTTGATTGCTATGGTGCAGGGACATCCGCCACTGCACAGGCACCCTCCACTACCTCAAAGCAATACAGATGTCAACAGCCACAACCCAAACTCAAGAATGCCCATGAACCCTTCATCCTCCCACTGCCGAAAGTATGAGCCAGGCTCTCCCTCTTCCTTTCCCCCTCTCATAACCAGAATGGTTCCTCCTTTTGAGTGGTGACCAGTCAAAATAAGGAAAATTCTAGCTTTAAGGTCCACTTGTCCATGGGATGTTGGACCCTCTTATCTATGGCACACCAGCAACTGCTTCAGCATAGCTACTTAACAACTTCAGCAGTGGAAGAAGCTCTGAATAGAAGGGGAAAGTCTCTTGTGTGGGTCAGAATAATTAGACTGAGCTCAAATTGGCTTTAGGCATCTGCTGCTGCCTCTGAGCAAAATCAAGCCATGTTGCTTCCATCAGCATCTCTCTGCTGTTAGCCTTACCCTGCAGAACAGAGGGGACCACATACTGCCTGGTGTAGGGCATCTCTGGGAACAAGACTTGCTCCAGCAGAAGCCATAAAGCCTCCTTATCCAGCTCTCATTAAAGCCAAGAGAAAAGAGGCCAGACAGAGAGACTGAGATGAGCCATTTCCCCAACAAACTTGCTTCCCTTTTTCATTCGCTCCGTTCTTTTTTTCCCCCCTTTAACTGTCATTAAAATAACAAGTTTCTGTTACAGTCTAAACATTCCCACATTGTATAAAGGGTTATGTTACACCAGAGTCACTGCCGGGCCCAGTGTTTGCACAGAAACCTCACTGCAGGTCCCCCCTCCTGACGAAGTGACTTATTAAAGTTTAAACAGTAATTAACAGAACAATAAAAATAAAGGGATGTTTGGGGAGTCGTAGTGCACACAGGGTTTTTGGCAGTGCCAGCACTTTTCAGTGCCCTGCGCTGGCAGAAAACACGCCTGCAAAACCAGTGGGAGAGATGGTGTGCTCAAAGGTATGATCCCAGCACCGGGGTGCAGAGAGCAGCAGGCAAGGGTGAGAGGGAAGGGGGGATGCTGATGGGGCACTTGGAATTGGTGCTCACCGTCAGCCCTGCACCTGTGTCTGCGCCACACCGCACTGAGAGCCCCCCTGTTCTCTGATTGTCTGAGATGCACAAGCCCCCAGAATCTGAGTGTGGGGAATTGTGTCTGAAACCAGACCTGGGGTCTGGGGAAGTAGCTCCTTTACTTTATAGAGAGTGGCAGAGAGGAAACAGCAACCACAGAGCAAACCCCTGGGAAAACCCTGCAACAGGGAGAGCTTCTGCAAGAGCACCCAAGCACAGCCCCCTTGCTTGAGAGCTTTAAAACTAGATAGAAGACATCCCATAGGGACTGATCCTGCCCTGGCCCTGTGCTGATGGGGGGAGCTCTGAGCTGCAGATCCAACAGGAATTCTGGAGTCAGTCCCTCCTGAAACGCAGTCAGAACCAGGAGCACAGCATCACACACTAGAACCTATCTTGCTATGCAGGACCACAACCTTATCTCTCCCAATAGAGCAGAACTTCTCCAACCTATGTGAAATTGGTTGTTCAGGGCTTCCTTTATAGGACCATGACTGCTTTTCTTCTGTTCTGTTCCCATCCCAGTCACCTCCCTTGCCCAGGATGAGCTCTAGAGCATGTGGGTAGAGTTTAAGCTTAGGTTGTCAGCCCTCCCTGTTACCCAACATGCAGCAATGCAGAAAGATCTCATTTGAAGATATTTTTGGTGCCTATTGTAACTATTCTCAAATGTTTGCCTCAGTAGCTCCCAGTGCTCGTTGGCTCCAGCCCTGATGTGTGACTCAGTACACACAGCATTGTGCAGCCCCATGTTTGCTAAATCTCTTCCAGTACAACTGCTCAGTTTGCAAATAAGAAGACAGCTCCGTACGGGTGCATCTCCTGTGCAGAGTGAACCTGGAGCGTGCTGCCTTGAGCCCTCTCCCATAAAGCTGTCCCTCAACTCTGGTGCTGGCACACACAGGCTGCGGAGCTGCCCCACTGCTGCAAGGACACATGTGGAGCCCATCCAGCACCAGCTATTCCCAGCCTGCCCACAGCTTCCTCTCCCTCCCCTGCTGGGGTGCAGGAGGAGGGAAATCCTCCCAGATTCCGCTGCTGATGGAGCTTGCAGCAGCTCTATGGAGATGCCCCCAGAAACCCCAGTATCCCACCAGTAGCAGTCGCCTAAATGCCTGCTCACACCTCCAGAAGGCAAACCTGCCAGCTCAGTCCTGCAAATGCATTCTGCAATGAAAACATACTCTAAATACCACAGGGCTGGCTTCGGAGCAGTCCATCAAGTGGATTCCTCCTCTTCAGTTCCCTCAGTAGTAAGGAGAACTCTGCCTTCTGCTTTCTCAATGGAGAACTAACCAGCTTGTTTCTGCAGCTGCTATATTGGCACTGCAGGGCAAAGACACATTTCAAGCTCCTCCAAGTCAACAAGTCTCATTCTTCTTCCAACAGCTCAGCAGCATCCAGCTCAACATTATCACTGACAAATGCCCACCAACAGGAGAACAGACATGAATATTGAGAAGGGATCCTGATTACTCTGTTTCTCCTGCCCTCCCATCACAAACAACACTGATCACCTGCCCAGGCACACTTGCTCACTCCGTAAGACATGGTTTAGTGGTGGACTTGGCAGTGCTGGGTTAATGGCTGGACTTGATGATCTTAAAGGTCTTTTCCAACCCAAACTATTCTAAGCAAAGTGAGCCTGCCCTGGCAGTGACAACCCTGCAAATGAGAGACAGAGCAGAGGGCTGGCACATAGGGTTCAGAATTAATGAAACCAAGACCTTGGCAACCTCAGTGATTTTACTGCATTCTGGTGCAAACTGATCAACTTGCATGGTGCCCCAGAGAGGATGTGAGATGGAAAGAAGGGAACGGAGAGAGGTTGAGTGGGAGACATGCTGACACCCATTCCCCTTAGAGCTGTGTTTTAACTGGGCCCCAGCAGCTCATCTGCAAGTGTGACACTTGCCTCTCCATGCCCCGGTTGTTGCCCTGTACCCCATCCAGCACCCACTTCACTGCTCACGGTGTCTTCACAAAAGCCTGTCCTGAGTCCTCAGGAGGTCCCTGGGTCCCACTGCCAGGGATGTGAATGGGATGCTAGATACATCACCAGATACAGCCTTGTTTGCCCAGCCACACTATGCCCTCACATCCCCAAACCTTCCACTGCCGCATTTTGATTTCTCAGTGGCTTTTCTACCTCCTTAGGAAATGAACAGTAACTGGCTTGTGCAGACTTGCCCAAGAGACAGTTTCTACAGAAGGCCCCTGAATCCATTGCAAGCCAGGCAGAGCAGCCTCTGCCTGATAGCTGAGCCACTGGCTCTGGCTTTTCCTTCCCCTCATTGCCTCAAGCCAGCTGTACGCACAGGAACAGCATCCAGGAACCAGTGCTGAAGCAAGATGCTGTGTGAGAGCCAGCAGCTCTATGGCCTGATCTGCTCCCCAGGAAAGGTGTCCCTATCATGCCTTACTCCTGGAGATCTCTGCACATTCCCAAGGTTTCTTTGCACTGATGTGAGCTGAGCTGCCCAAAGGACTCTCCCGCCCCACAGACTGAGGATCTCCAGCCCTGAGCACAAGCAAGCAAAATCAATACATCAAATACACTCCCAGCCCAGTGCCACAGTTCTCCCTTTCCAGACCCACCCGGCTTGATCCCTCTCGGGCTGCTCTTATGCTCATGTCCCTCTGCTAAGCTCAGAAGAATGATCTCCCCAGCTGACGCCTTTCCACTGCCACTCACATCAACTGGAGAGAAAGCCACACCACCCAGATCTGAACTCTTCATCCCATTTACCCAGCTACAGAGATGTTTTCCAGCTCCTTGCTGTGCTGGAGTCAGGGTCTCTCCAGACTCATTTGAGTGGCAGTGCTTGAGAGGGAAAGTATGTTGAACAGGTAACAAGTAGGTGCAAAGAGAACAAGAGAAGGTGCCCCCAGGTCAGCACTCACGTGCATTTTCCTCGGCCATGTCTGAGGAGCCTGGGAGTCAGCACAGAGCACAGCTTTGCATGGGGGTCTCAAATAGTTTCACAGTGCAGAAAGACTGTCCTGTGCACTTCCTTTTCCAACACGTCGTTCAGGAGGCCTCTACAGCAATGCCAGTAACTGCCTGTAGGGAATGTTATGTTAGAAAATTATCTAATGCACTCTTCATCATCTCGTCTTGCAATCTACAGAAGCAACCATCACAGTACGACCCTTCTTCCAAACACCACTGACTTTATACACTGTGCTCAGTGGTACCTTGGGCCACATCCCAGAATTCAGGCTCTCTTTTGCTTAACAGGCCATGAAATTATTTAGGCTATTCTTGATATTACATTGTTATATTTGTAATTAACACAGAAGGTCACAAGTGCCACAACCTGCAATCCCCCTGTTTTGCTGAATACAGAGGAGACTGAGTGCTTCCAAGGACTTGGTCCTCACCTAACTCTCCTGCTGGGTTTATGGGAAGCCAGCATTCAGAGCAGCCCTATCCCACAAGGAAAGGGTTTGATATTGTCAGAGATGCTAATCTGCATGTATTTGGAATACAATCTGGGAACCAACACTCCAGAATCGGGTCTTACCTCCTTTTTTTGGAAAGGACTTTTTAAACAAAAGGGAAAACCCTGCCAGCACACTGAGCATTGGGTGCTATCTTCAATCAGGGAAGCCTAATTATACCCATTATCCTGATGAGGAAGCACTGGCACAAAGCTAGGCACTCGCATGGCTACAGATACAAAGCGAATCAGTGGCAAAGCGGGAATTAAACACGGGAATCGTAGTGATGAGCTCATCACCCACCTCAGCACAGCCACATGCAGCTGGCCATGGACTAGACCATGTCCTACCGATGTCCAACAGCTTACAGAGCTGCTGAGGCACCCTCCACACACCTCCATCACAGGCTGAAAGCTTCAGGCCAGGGCTGAGATGGCTGGGGGTGCTCTGGGACATGCAGGGGATGGGTCACACAAGCTGGCCCATGAAGACCCAGCTCACTGTATTGGAGACAGACTGGCAGGGCTGCAGAAACCCAACAGCCAGGTCTGAGCCACCAAGGCACCCTACAACCACGCAGACTGTGGCAGGGATGAATCATCTGCTCCTCCTTCTGAAGCAGCTTCATCAGCTTCCCTGGATGTGGATCCTCGCAGCAAAGACCAGCCTGATCTGTCTACGTAATAATGGTCCCCTAGCACGTAAAGCCCAGAGCTTTTCCTTGGCACCAGGGGCCAGCACTTGCCCTACACTCTCCCTGCCAGGTGCTGGGTCTAAGAAAGGCTGCAGAATCCCTTGGGATTGAGAGTCATTACATAAACAATGCAATAGGATCACGGGCTGTAATTGTAAAAGCGCCTGAGGTCTTGGCACTGAAATCTGTCTCAGCAAAGGCCTCTAAATGGAGACCCAAACAAAACAAACAAAAGCCCCAACTCTGTCAGCACCTAATGAACAATAATAAATAATAAATAATAACCCTATGAGCCAACATAGCAGGACAGATGTGAGGCACCAGGGCAGCTCTGAGGGAACGCTGACCCTACAGCAGTAGCCCTCCCTCCTTCCCCAGTCTCTTATCACACTGAGCTCAGGTCCGCAAGTACCTGCAGGGTTAGGTCCAGAGGGGAAACCTGGGTCTCTGTCAGGGGTGTGAATCCCCCAGTAAGATGTATGATAACGTAATTCATATGCCCCTGGATCAGGACCTTCACCTGCTAAGGGAGCACACACATACACCAAGCCATGCCTAGCCCCTACTGCAGCATCTCTCTTCAAGTGCTAAAGGCAAAAAGCAGCAGATGGAGCTGAGCAAGGGAATCCAGGTAGGTGTGAGTCCAAAGCCTCTCCCCAGCATCATTACAGTCTTGACTTGAGTCCCCCACTTGTCCCATGCAAGCGGAACTCCCAGCAGGACATGGGAAGAACTGCCTGGCAGGGACATGGGCAGAAACAAAGGGCCTAATTTAAGTATTTTTATTACTCAGTACTTGTGACAGTGGGTTTAGCAGTTGCCAGCCATCTGGAATAAAGAATTACAGCCACCTCCCCATAATCCTATATTGCCTAAACCCTAAAGCTGGTTATGGTGCAAGGATGAGGCAGCAGCAGGTTGGGAGGAGGCACTGATGGGAGCTGGGGGTGGAGAAAGGACCGCAGGAAAAATCCCAAACTTATTCCTTTTTCCCTGTGAGGCGCTGGGTGGTCCCAGATGTGCCACAAGTATTTTTTGCTGGGAATCAAGAGACGACAGGATGAAGAGAGAGGGGGGGAGAAAGGAGACAAGGAGTCCTCCATGAGCACACAGTCGCATGCACCACACACACACACACACACGCACACAGAGGCTTACTGGTCCGCGCAGGGCTGTCAGGTAAATTAGATCTGAAAGCTGACAATTTCTGACCATATTTCCTTGATTATTTCAAACAAATGCACACCAGCCGCTGTAAGGAGATTAAAGTGACATAAACGTCCCGAGTGGGAGGAGGGAGGGCAGAGAATTCAGGTCACCCCCATCCGTCCCCCATTTGACAGCCGCTATATCGCTATCCAATCCAATAAAAAAATCCCCCCCTTTTGCTTTAATTAATTTTACAGCTAGCTTGCTTAATTACTTTCAATCAAAATCCTCCTGCCATCGCAAAATTAGAGATGGTTGAGCTCCATTAGCCTAAATTCTTCATTTCCATATAGAAAGAGGCTCCCTCGGCAAAGCCAACAGGGCTCCCTCCTATCCAAGCTGCCATCGGACAGATGCCTGTCCCTCTGTCTGTCTCCAGCTCCTTGGGAGAAGGGGGGGAGAAGAAGGATGCAGCCTTGTTCCCACCATCCCATTTCATAAAGCAGCTCCTTGAGAGCCCTGGACCTGGGAGGCCTCTCTGCTCACAGCACACACCATGAGACGTGAGGACAGCTTACCCGCATGGCCTTCTTCCCACCATGCTGGAACCAGCATTTCCATGGCTGCACAAAGAAGCTGGGACAGCACACAGCTCCCTTCTGCTGGGATTCCTGCTGTGGGTGCCAGCGCTGGGGATGGGATGTGGAAAGGATGCATCTCCTGCTTGGGCTGGACCGAGCGCTGCCACTGCCATCCCACACATCCATGCAGGCATCACTAACTCGAGCTGTTCTCTGCTGGACGCATGGAAAGGGCATCGAGGGGACAGAGGGGCAGATCATTTTACATCTGCATGCTCTGGGGTTTGGTACCTTGCTTTGGAGCATCTGGCACCAGCCACTGTCAGAAACACGGCACCATGGACCATGGGGCTGTGACATTCCTGTAGCTCCTGTAGGCACCTCTAGCACCTCTCTCCTGCGAACACAGATCATGAACTGCCCCAATTTGCGCTGATCTGAGAGCAGTCCCAACTGGCCTCACGTTCATGAAACCTTCAGAAGAGCAGGGAGTGGCAGCAATAAAGCCATACGGAGCTGGAAAGGAGACAAGAACTCCAAGCGGGTGGAGAGGATGGGTGCAGGAGGAAACCCTGGAAAGGAGCTGGGCACAGTGGCACAGAGGAGCAGAACCAGCTCCTCTCAAAGTACCACGGGAACTGGAGAGAATTACCCAGACCACTCCAGTGGATCACACTGCAGCACGTTCCCATAATTTCCTATGTTTTCCTCCTTTCCCATCTCCCCACACTACCTGCAGAGCAATGGGATTCTATGTACACTCAGCACTCCATGTAGGTACTGAACCTGGAGCTGCAGGAAGGTCACAGGGGCACCCTGGTCTCTGCACCTTCCCACTCTTCGGAAAGCTCCAGAGGTGCTTATGATAAGCACAAGAAGCCCAAGCACCCCCCCGGTCTCCAGGGAGGACAGGTCAAACCCCTTCCTGCTTCAGAACGAGACAAACACAGACCTATTTTGTTTATAAGCTTAAAACTGAATCCAGTGGCGCATCTACCTGGGGATTTCAGATTAAATGGTTTAAGAAACTCAAATAGGCTTTTTAATCCGGTCAAATAAAAAGAGCCCCAAAGAAGCAAAGAATTCACCCTGCTGAGCCTCAACGCCTGTGAAGACAGCTTCCTTACTCCCTCCAACTCCTCCCCACCCTGGCATGGGACATAATGTGTTTGCCAACATCTGGAAGCTCAGGAAACACCCTGCTCAGGGCTCACGCAGGCTTCGCTTTCCCACGGACGACCCATCTCCATCCTGCTCTGTAACAGTGTCTTCATCCTTTCTGTGTTCCCTTACACTGTTCATCTGGGCCCTTCCCCCTGTACATGGCAGGCCATGAGCATGATGCCAGCCCTGGTTACATCACCAGCACCAGCCAAAAGCAATCCAAGAGAAGGCACCAAACCCCCTAATCCTGGTTCAACACACACATTTAGGGACTGTCTTCCATACAAACTACATCTCTGCATGTTCCACAGAGATGGGTGAGAAGATGAGGGGCTGAGCAGCCGTGTGCTCGTGAGATGCAGACTGGGGACCAGCAGGGTCTGCCCAGGGAAGAGAGCAGCAGCAGGACAACCAGCCAAGGTCTGATGGATGGAGACCAAGCCTGATGGACTTGGGGAGTTTGATGAACTGAACCCTGACAAGGAGCAGGAAGCAAAGGGGCTCTCTGCTCTGCTGCATGACCACTTCTCATAGAATCACAGACTGGTCTGGGTTGGAAGGGCCCTTAAAACTCACCCAACTAGACACCTTCCACTAGACCAGGTTGCTCCAAACCCCATCCAACCTGGCCTTGAACACTTCTCCAGCACTTCCAGCCTTGCACCTTCTCCCAGTATCACATCTCCCCAGCTTCCCAACAGAAACTCCCCTCCTATCCCCCGCGGCTGCTGTTCAGCTCCGGAAGCGCTCCGAACCAGCCTTCCCCTGCACATGCTCTGCAATGAAATTCCCGACTTGTGTCTCGCCTGCTCCAATGCTCAGAGCAGCTGGGACAATAGAACAGAGAGGCCCTAAATCCACCAGACTCACCCTAAATAGCAATGGCCCATAATTTTGCCTGACATTCAGGAGCTTGTTATTCTTTCCCCTCGTCGCCTGGCTGGAGCTGTTCAGACCCATCAGTGTTATTCTATGCATTAAACAGGAAAAAAAACAACTCAACAACAACCCAGAGAGTTTCCAAGCCTGCCC